ATAGGCTAGGAAACCCCCCTCTTGCCAACACAGTGGCAGAAAGGGATCTTGGAGTCACTGTTGACTCCAGGATGAACTTGAGCCGCCAATGCGAGGAAGTGGTTAGTAAGGCTAACTGCATCTTGTGGTAAATCTGTAGATGCATGACAAACAGGTCCAGGTAGGTGATCCTCCCCCTCTATGTGGCATTGGTCAGGCCACAGTTGGAGTACTGCATCCAGTTCTGGGTGCCGCACTTCAAGAGGGATGTGGCTAGCATTGAGAGGATCCAGAGGAGGGCCACTTGCATGGTCAAGAGGCAGCGGTTCAAGCCCTACAAAGAGAGGTTAAAGGGCCTGAATATATTCAGCCTCCACAAGAGAAGGCTGAGAGGGTATCTGGTGGCTGTTTACAAACTCACCAGGAGGGACCAGCGGAAATTGGGTGAGGCTCTGTTCCCCCGGGCACCACTGGGGGTTACTTGGAATAATGGCCACAAATTGTTAGAAGGTTCAGGCTGGACATCAGGAGACGTTACTTTACAGTTAGGGCTGCTAGGCTCTGGAATGGACTCCCAAGGGAGGTGGTGCTCTCTCCTATCTTGGGGGTCTTCAAAAGGAGGGTGGAGAGGTGTTTGGCTGGGGTGTTATGACCCTAGCTCTTGTTCTTGCCCAGGGCAGGGGGTCGGACCTGATCTATTTAGGTCTCTTCCGACCCTAAGCACTATGAGACTGTGAGTTTTATGTATCTAACAGGCAAATTTGTGGGGTATCACAATTTTGCAATAGAATAGTCTCAATTTTAAAAATTATTCTGCCAAAGGTATTTGTATAGGTACCTCTTTGATTTTAAAAACCTTTTCATGTTTTCGAAATGCAGATTATTGACAAAGAGATTAACCCATTTGTGGACAAATGGGAAGAAGAGGGACAGTTTCCAGCACACAAAGTATTTAAAATCCTTGGACAAGCTGGATTCCTTGGAGTGACCAAGCCAACAGGTAGGGGAATACACGACTTTAAAATAATTCAACTTCAAAATATATGTTACATATATTGTCCTAAACCAAAAACTGGATGTAAACCTTGGGTTCAAATTTGAAATTTTAGGTAAAATTTGCTAACGTACCTGTATTCCATTTTCCAAAGGGATTTAGGGGAATTGGAAGTCTAAGTCTTAGTCACTTTCATGTTTTAAAATGGGACTTGGGCTCCCAAGTCATGAAGGAACTTTTATCTGTTCAAACTGAATCTAAACTTGTTCAATTTTGGGAAGTTCAGATTTAGAACTGAATAGTGTATATCTCTGTCCTGTGCTTTTGCTCACTTTTCCCAATTGAGGCATTTACTTTTGCCTGATACAGAGATACCAAGTTTTTATACCTGGGTCATTAGAGTTTTGAAGTGGCCAGTGTAAACACTTGCAATTAATTTATTTATCATAGGAGATACTGATTCTAGTGATATATATAATAATAATAATAATAATAATAGACTGTAACATAGTAACAACAGTAGATACTGATACTGGAAATGGTAATTGCTAGAACCAGAAATCTGTTTTTAAATGCATTTTGCTGGACATACTGAATGAGCAGCTGATACTAGGTAATAAACATTTCCTCAGATATAAAACTTAAAGCCAAAACGTCACGTGGTTGACTAGAGCAAATCATTAAATTTCGTATTTAGACCTTTACATTTGGTTGAAGTTGATTGTCACTCTGCTGCTGAATTTATTAGTGAATGAGACTGCTAAGCATCTTCAGAATAGTTGTCTTTTCTTTTTAGTTACCTAAATACAGATTTTGGTGCTTAGAGTATTCTCATTTGCAAAGGGTGAACTTTGTAGGCAGCAAACAGGTTTTCCTCATGTATTTACAAGGTAAAATGAAACAAAAGCTTAGTAAGTTACTCTTTTATCACTTACTTTTCAATAAGCAAGCTTTTAGTGTCATTCAAATGATATGCTTGTTAACAACATTTATACTTAAATTACACAAAATTGAGTTTTGGTTATTCTGTAGCTGAGGTCACATTCTGGTTACATAATGGATAGCACAAATTGACAGGTTGCTAATTATACATTTCTCAAAATGGAAAAAAAAATTAAATGTTGGGTTGTTTCTGTTTGGCTGTCAGTGAAATCAGTGTACATTTGTTTTCCATACTCAGTTCACGTATTGTTTTTCTTTACTGTATTTACAAGTTTGATTTCTGCGTGCAGGCAGTAATAATACCAACATGATATTTTTCTGTTTTCTAAAGCACCCACAGGAAGTCATTTCTTTTCAATTTCACTTTTTTGTACAAGGATGAAACATGCAGGTACTTACTCTTTGAGAGTAAATCCTATGTATAATTTTTCCACAAAAGCATTCAGCATCAGAATCTACCCTTCATTAATATTGATTCTAATTCTGAAATGCACAGTATTCAATCTTCATTAAAGTAAGTGCAATTTGAGGTAGTTCAAAATTGTACAAGATTGCATACCTAACTGTATGTATCCTTTATGTGACCTGTACAGCATTGACATTTACTTTGCTTTCCCCATTTAGAAGAAAAGATGGGAATTTCTCTTAACCAGAATTCTGAACAATTTAAAATGTGTTCTTCTGAAGCTTTTGACTCCTAGAAGCCAAAATGAAATAGGCACGTGGTTTAGAAAAAACTGCAATATGGACACAATGTAAAATAAAAGCAAAAAGTAATAAGGCTTTATATAACTCATAAAAATAGAGAATGCTTGATTCTATTTAGTTGCAAAATTGGGTGGTTATATTTTTTAAAGTTACTTAAAAAGAAAATATATATGCTAGAATTTTTTAAGTTCTTCCTTTACAATTTTTTTACTTTGACCATTTTAAGGGGTGTGTGTGTGTAGGGGGGGGGTGTTAGAGGATTGGTGTAATATACATGCAAATGTGCACATGCATGTACATGTTGTGTACATGATTATTTATTTGGCACCCCGGGTGAAGTCGTTAAGTGCAGCTTTCAGATGGTGGTAACTCTCAGAAGGATCCTCTGCTAATATAGTCGAGTGTATGGGAACTCTGACACAGACCACTCCCAGCCCACTGATCCCACTGCGCTGGCTGTTGTCAGACTGGTGGCCTAGGACAGCTAGATTGGCTTGTGACTCCCAGATTTGTATTTACCCACATCAGTGTCATGGCGGTTTGTATTACCTTTATGGCATCACAGCAGTGCAGAGACTAAGGAATCTGGCCCCTCCTCTTAAAATCTAGTAAGGTAGCCAAGGAAGATGACTCAAGTAATAAACCAAAAGAGAGATATAAGATCTGAGTTCTGTTTCTGTCTTTTCTATTCTTTTCCTGTATGTGCTTGGAAAACTCTTCTTGTACGTAAGTTTTCCGTGGTAGTCTGAGGATCAGGGATCTCGGTTTTCTGTTTGCCACAAAAAATGTTGTAAAACCTGGATCTTCTCGTTTTAAGGAGAAAAACCCAGATTTTTCTCCCTGGGGCTGCTGCCTTGCTGGGGCTTGGGGGCTGGGCTGGAATATGCAGCTGCTGGGCCTGAGAAGGGAGCAGGACGGAGCTGCAGGTGGCTCGTCTGGGGTGGGGGCTGGCTCCCCATTGATGTGTGCAATCCTGGGGGTGGTAATGGGAGGCACGTGCTCCTCAGATTTGTGCTCGGAGTGGAAGTGGGTGCAGGCTGCTTGCTGCAGACATGGGTTCCCTAGCCTGCTGCCCTCTCCCCCGGGGCCTCCATGGCCCAGCAGGTGGAACCTGGCATGGCAGGACAGAGTGGGGCAGGGAAGCTTGGTGCCACTGCTGCAAGCCCCATGTTGCCATGGCAAAGCGCCCCCTGCAGCAGGGAGGGTGGTGACATGGAGTTGTGCCCCTCACTGCTGCTGGCCAGGTAGGGGGCACCTCGCCATGGTGGTGCAGAGCTCCCAGTGGCGGTAACAAGCTTTCTTGCCCAGTACTGCTTTGCCCTGCCATGCTGGTTCCTGCCTGCTGAGCTGCGCAGGCCCTGGGGGAGGGCAGCAGGGCAGGGAGTCCTGAACCTAAAGCAGGCAGCCTGCATCCACCCCCCACCAACATGTTCTGCTCCAGCTGTGCCGTCCATATGGGAGGGGGAGCCGGGCTCTGTGCTCTGCTCTTCTGTAGCAGCTGCTACCTCCCATGGGTGGCAACCGGGGTTCAGGTGCTGCTGTGGGGGGTAGGGGCCTGCAGACCTGAGTCCCTAGCTCCAAAATCCTGTTAGCTGGGGGCCCCCTCTGGCAGGGCTGTGGGTGGGGAGTAAGGGACACAAGCAGGGCTGGGGGGCAGGGGAGCAGGAGTGAGAGGCAGTGGCATGGGCAGGGCACTGGCATATTGGGGCTTCTCAGTGCCACAAAGCAGTGGTGGAGGGGGACAGCTGCAGCAGGACCTGCATCCTGATGAGTGAAGGGGGCAGAGGGAGCTCTGATTTTCCATGGTAAAAAAACTCAAAATCTATGCCAAAATTGATAAGTATTTAGAATGTGTTTTATTATAGCAGTTGAGACACTGGTAGGCTTCCAAACTGCTTTAAAATGGTACATATATCAATAAAACATTGTGTTCAGTTGATACCTATATATAGTAGTGTTTCATTTTAATCGTGGAAAAATGGATTTTGGGAGATTTAATCACAAAATTTGTGATTTTTTTTTTTAAACAGAGAAAACCAGTATCCCTGGTGAGGATAATACTATTTACCTACTTAACGTGTTATAAAGCTTTAAGTAAACTAAGAGCTGTGTGTGGAAATGTAAATGATTATTACTAGTTTGCTAGTTAAATGGTATTTCATCATGTGATATTTTGTTGGCTCCCTTCCATTACATCTTATTTTTACAATCGGATCTCAACAGTTATGACTAGGAGAGAAAAGACAGATGGTGAGACATTTAAGTGCCTATGAGAACAACAGACATTGAGCCCCAAGTCTCTGTTAGATCAATGAAAATAGAGAATTTATTTTCACAGCAAAAGCAAATTGAATAAAAGAAGTGAAAATGGGTGAACTCAAATTGTAAAATAACTGAAAATGTTCATCTGTGCAGTGTCTTAAGTGTTATCCCTTAGCACCGCTAAGAGTTTGCGTTTGAAATAGAGAACAAATTATGTCTTTCTACAAATTATTTTAAGTTAGAAATTTTATATTGGAAGTAATGTCTACATTCTAACATGTTTTAACTCAATAACTGTTCACAGTTGTTAACAGTTCACAAAACTATTAAGCTCTGATTTGTCTGGCAAATCCAATTAGTTCTGAGCTGGCACTTCATTAAAAAATGCTGACAGCATGAGAACATTTAAGATTAACTTTAAAGGGCAAATAGGATTATTGGGTGAAAGAAAAATACTGCGCCCAAGTTCTGCCTGGTCCATTTTGCCATAAATGAATTTGATGGACAAGCTGAAAATATGCCCCAAGTAATCAATCTCCTTCACGTATCTACTACTAATATTGCCTCTTTGTAATCAAAGAATTGCTATCAAATTATATAATCACTAGCTAATTGCCCCTCAAGAATGACAGATTTCAGGGAGTGTTTACATGGTGCCCTCTCATCCCCCACTCACCCTTCGGGGCCAGCCATGTAAAGACTCCTGCTGCTGCTGCCGCCTCCTTCAGCCTCCAGCACGAGGGCTCCCTCTCCCATCCGCCTCCACCTTGCAGCAAGGCTTCCCCTGCCTCCCCTCCCCGCTTTCCTCTCTCCCTCCCCACCACCTCTCCTACCCTGCTGGCTGTTGGGCCCTGGTGGCAGGGGGACGCTGCCACCGTGACCCCCCTCCTACCCCTCCCCACTTCCCTCCCTTCCTCCCTCCCCGTCGCCTGACCCCAACAACAACTGCCACTGTGACCCCACCTTTGCCTCCCCCTGCCCCATTCCCCTCCCTTTCTCCCTGCACACTGCCTCCCCCTCCCTGCTGCCTGTTCTGGAGGGCGGCGGGGACGGCCAGCGGGGGGACACCACCACTGTGACCCCGTTCCTCCCTT